TATTCTATTGTGTATGTACCAGAGTTAATTTATCCGTTCCTACACAGATGAGGTTTTTGATTGTTTTCTTTTTTCTGCTGTTATAGAAATTGCTGCCATAAACATGGGAGTACATCTATCTGTTTGTATCTTGTTCTTTATTTCCTCAGTGTGCGTACCAAGCAGAGAGATGGCAGACATAAGGTAGGATCCGTTGTTTAAGGAAGCACCAGACTGTTTTCCATAGTGGTTGTACAGTTCTGCAATCCTACCGGCCACATAGGAGCATTCCCATCACTCCACGTGCTGTGCATCACTTAGAGTTTTCTTTGTGTGTGTGTGTGTGTGTGTGTTTTAACTTTTTAAGAGTATCAGCTTGAGGTATTATCATTGTTTATATTTGTATTTTTCTTATAACTAATGATCATAACCATTTCTTCCTATGATTGTTGACCACCTGAACATCATCTTGAGTAAATTTTCATATCTTGTGTCCACCTTTTTATTGGGTTACTTGTGGTTTAAAACACTTTTTTATTAAGGTGTTATTTTCTACATATTTTTGAAATTTGTCCATTTCTTTTAGGTTTTCAGATTTGTCCATTTCTTTTATGTATCATGTAATCATCACCTTCATTTCTCTCACCAAGGCCATATTTTCTAACTATTGTTCCTTCCTCTTTGTCTCCAACTTTTGCATTCCAATCACCAATAATTATCCATGCATCTTGCTTGCATGTTTGATCAATTTCTGACTGAAGACATTGGTAGAATTCTTCAATTTCTTCATGTGTTAGCCCGGGTTGACTAGAGAAAAATATCCAGGGAGACACTCGCATATGTGTAAGAGAGAACTTTATATAAAAGAGCAATTATACATTGAGAAACATCCCAGCCCAGTCTAGATAAAGTCCATGTGTCCAATATTAGCCCATATGTCCAATACTAGTTCATAAATTCCTCTTTACACTCATGCAGCCATGAAATAATGCCGAATGCAGGAAGATCACAGTCCAGTGGGTGGAAAGTCTTGTGGAGCCAGTGGTGGTGAAAACATCTCAGCGCTGGCGTGGGTCTCCATGTGGCTCCTCCAGCTTCAGGGCTCTGGCTGTATCAGTGTAACTCCATCAGGCTTGTCATCAGGAATGTCTCGAAGGGAGTGAGTGTATCTGGCCTCCAGTGAGATGTTTATTTCTGTAGTGCCTCCAAATGAGGTCATCAAGCCGCAACTTTTGACAGGCCAGACTCCACCCCTTCACTCTTAATAGTCTCAAATTGACACCAGATTATGTAACTGCCACACTTCAGCACTAGCTTTTGTGGTAGGTACATAGTTTAAATAATAGTTGTATCGACTGGATTTCCTTGAAGGCATATAGATTTCATCCTATCATAGACAACATTATATTTCAAGATGAATTTTGAAACATTCTTTTTTTAAAAAATAATTTGATTTGGGGCTCATACAACTCTTATCACAACCCATTGTGTCAAGCACATTTGTATATTTGTTGCCATCATCATTCTTCTGATGATCCCTTATACCTGATCCCTTCGACACCTCATGATCGCACAGGCTGGTGTGCTTCTTC